AAAAAAAAGAGGATTGCATAACTACACATCCATAATTTCATAACTATATATCCAGAATTACATAACTACACATCCATAATTTCATAACTATAAATCAAGAATTGCATAACTTCATAACTATACACCCATAATTGCATAACTACACATCCATAACTTCATAACTATAAATCCATAATTGCATAACTACATATCCATAATTTCATAACTATACATCCAGAATTGCATAACTATACATCCAGAATTCATAACTAAAAATTCAGAATGAATAAACTAAAAAAATGAATAACATAATGTTGTTGCTGGAAATTGAAACTGGTTTTTTTTTTTAAGTAGAACGCGCGTTTTGATGCAAAACGACGTCATTTTTGCATCCGTATGCACCATGTATAGCATAATTTGCCCGCTTCGAAAGGCATGAGAATTGGTCCAATGGAAATTGTCACTTGTGGGAATTGAATCGAACCCGAATTATTCCATTAATCTATTATTATTGAATATAAAAAAGGAATTCAAGTAATTAAGTCCAATTGAATCCATTTTTTTCCCAAATCGTCCCTACAAAGAATCTCCTTTACCACTTTTTGAACTACACCTTTGGGTTAATTGATATATCCTCATCATTAAAATTACAACATTATTTATAAACCATACAATATTGGGTAATTAAAACCACAAATTATATTGACGGTGTAGAATTCAAGTTGGTAAATTACAAAGTAGTCACAATATATTGTCCCATTACATGCCTAAAATGTAACAATCAGTCAGTCTGTACTGGTTGGTGGAACCAATTTATAAATTGTGCAATGTATTCAGAGTTTTAGCTACTACTAAGCCTATTAACACCTATGAAATCAATGTCTCATTTTTGAAAAAATTACTTATGTTTGTTTTATTATTATTAATAAATTAAAAGGAAATTATTATGTAATTACAAAGACATTTATTTTACTTAAAATTTTATATTTTGTATTTTTATATTTAACTTAAATAAATAATTACATATATGTTTAATTTTTGATAATTTTAATTTTTTAAAAAATAAATGAATATATGAAGTAAGATATTAATTCTTAAGTGTATACTTTTCATTTACTCATGCACACATGCAAGAAATTGTCTAGAAATTCTTGTATTTGATTCTCAATCGTAGTGATGACTTAATAGATCTATAAATTTACACACACAAAAATATATCAATATAGTGTTATTTAAAATATCATAATTAAAATTTTGTTTTTTTATATCAAATTTATTTATACAAAAAAAAAAAAAAAAAAAGAAGAAGAAAAACAACACCTCCGTCGTGGCAAATTATTCTGTGTAAGGAAGTCCACCTTGCAAGGTTCACAATTTACATACTAAATGTTTATAATTTTGTAAAAGGTAAATTGTGAACATTTAGTATATAAATTATGAATATTAAATATGTAAATTGTGAACTTTCAATATGTAAATCATGTATTTTGAACCTAAGTCAATTTTACCAGGTAAACCCTGGTCGATTTTATAACAACTACTCTGTCGTGACCTTATCACACCCATATATTCATTCCAAAGATTGAACCCCAACCCTAAGGGTCCCCTACACCCCCGCCCGACAGAGCATCTGGGAGGATGTAAATCATGGTAACTCAACTGAACATAAACCACAGAGGCTAGATCTTTGCTTACTGCGCGCAAGAAGCCCCCCTCACTTTGAGAGGTTGCTCCTACACTACCTCTGATGAGACTCGATCCCTGATCATTCACACCCATATATTCAATCCTCAATAAGTATATGTGTATGTAACACATCTACAGTCAAATTTTGTATTATTGTCCCTGAGGCCAAAAATCTTTTGAATTTATTTTATTTTTATTCCAAACGTGTCTAATTTTTTATTATTTTCCCGAATCGCCACATCCTCTTGTCAGCATGTGATCATTATATTCTTCCAAAAAGTACCGTCGGTCAATCAATATTCAATATAATGTTTAATTTGGTAAGAACAATTTATAAAATTTTTGCCATGTGTTCAATTATATTTATCAACTATTGTTTGTTTTATTATTATTACTAAATTAAAAGCAAATTATTATGTAATTAAAAATATTTATTTTACTAAATTTTTTGTATTTTTATATTTAATTTCAGTCAAATTTTATTAACCAAACTAGACACATAAAATGCGACAGAGGGGTAAGATCAAATATTAATACTTAAGTATATACTTTTTCATTCACTCATGCATACAATAAGTTGTCTATAAATTCATGTATTTGTTTCTTTACCGTAGTGACTTAATAGATTTTTATGTTTATTAAAAAAATATAAAATATATCAATATTAGTGTTATTTAAAATATTACAATTAAAACTTTCTATTGTTACGTTTTTTTATATATCAATTTTATTTATACATAAAGAAAACTAAAATATATTTGACATGTGAAAATAAAAGTATTATTATCTAGAGCGAGAAGTGATAAATTATTTGATATATTTTAGTTATTATTTAAGTATATATTATTTTTCTAAAGATAAAAGGAACGAGGAAACTTGAGCCTAGCTAATAACACGCCCCTTTGCTAGATCCTTCGTGGCCTTAGCACACTCATTTAATCCTCAATAAGTGCATGTAACACATCTATAGTAGTCGGGACAGAGCCAGAAATTCGGTTGAGAGTGTAAAAAAGTACGGACAGATTCAAAAAAAAAAATCAGTAAAGGCGAAATATTAAAACAAAGGAGATAATTTTAAAAATAAATAAATAAATTACCTAAGAAATATAGTTGTAAATATTGTTGAATATGGGCGAAAAATAAAAACATCGAAACTTTATAAAAATATTCATAACAAAATATGAAACATAATTAATTTGATAAAATAATTTGAATAGAAAACACATTATAAATATAAAAGAATGTTATATATTGTTGGATCTCAACGCTGCACTATGCTTACTTCCCAGGGGCTCACCCATCCCGGGATTGCCGGAAGTCAAGCAAGCACGCTTAACCACAAAGTTCTATGGTACATGGTTGCCATATCCTACTTAAAACCAATTGGTGATAGGTAGGTGGACATTAACCACATCTCTCCATGGTAAGCCACAGCGCCACGTCCCGAATCGAGCCCACAGAGTTCTATGGTACATGGTTGCCATATCCTACTTAAAACCAATTGGTGATAGGTAGGTGGACATTAACCACATCTCTCCATGGTAAGCCACAGCGCCACGTCCCGAATCGAGCAGGGGCTGAACTCGGCCAACCCGGCCGACGCCCAACAATCCCCCAGTTACGCAGCATGCTTGACTCGGTCCTTAGCCTACACGCCCACAGCGCCACGTCCCGAATCGAGCAGGGGCTGAACTCGGGCCCCTGAACTCGGCCAGCCCGGCCGACGCCCAACAATCCCCCAGTTACGCAGCATGCTTGACTCGGTCCTTAGCCTACACGCCCACATCCCACCTGGGACTGGACTCGATTTTCGCCTCGCCATCGATCCGGACCCGTTCCCCCAGTTACGCAGCATGCTTGACTCGGTCCTTAGCCTACACGCCCACATCCCACCTGGGACTGGACTCGATTTTCGCCTCGCCATCGATCCGGACCCGTGACCACAGCTCTGATACCAATTGTTGGATCTCAGCGCTGCACTATGCTTACTTCCCAGGAGGTCACCCATCCCGGGATTGCCGAAAGTCAAGCACGCTTAACCACAGAGTTCTATGGTACCTAGTTGCCATATCCTACTTAAAACCAATTGGTGATAGGTAGGTGGACATTAACCATTTAACCACATCTCTCCATGGTAAGCCACAGCGCCACGTCCCGAATCGAGCAGGGGCTGAACTCGGCCAACCCGGCCGACGCCCAACATATATTAAATATTAAAAAAGTTATTAAAAACGTGAGCGTGTTGAAGTCGTAGGAGAAGGAGTCAAAAAAATTGTAAAATTATATTGATATCAAAGGATTCAAACTCTTAACCCTTACTTTTGCCAAACATATACTCTACCAATTAATCTAACTTATTTCTTGTTAATTTTAATAAAATTTTTATACTAATACTAAAACTGTACTCGTACTATATATACATATATATATACAAAGATTATATATGGAATGAGAGGCAGCTACCCCTACCCCTACCCCCTACCCCTTTGGCTCGGTCTCTGGATCCTGATAGTAGAACGAACAACCAATTTAGCCAGATAATATTACAATATTCTTTTATTGGTAAATGTGTCTAATCTTTGGACCATGATATAACTATTGTTGATCATGGTAATCACTTCGTTCACTATTGTCCCGACTCCCGAGGCGCCACAAATCTATCTTTTCAATTTTTTTTTTTTAAATACCAAATCCTCTTGTCCGCATGTGATCATTATATTCCAAATATGTATCATCAATCAATCAATATAATGTTTGGTCGTAGGACCAATAATTTATAAATTTTTGCATGTGTTTTAAAAATTTTAGAACAAATTGTCACATCATATTGTATTCGAAGGGAAAATACTTAATGTATTCTTATTTTAAACTCCTAATTTATACTCTCTTTCACATATTTTTTATGTAGATATTTTTTTATGAACCTGATGAAAATAACTAATCCTGATTTGTCACCTCAGAAAGTATAAATGAGGGAATAAAATTTTAGAAGTTTATGTAGTAGAACTCTATTTCAAACACCAACCCACCATCAAGATTCCAATAAAGTTTCAAGCGACAAAGAGATCGGCGATCGATAAACGATCACCAATCATGGAGATCAGAATAAGGAGACCAAGGTCGCCTTCTCGCCGGAGAAGGCAACCAAATGGTCGATCGCCTTTTTCGTAACCCGTGACCGTTTGTTGTTGTCTGCAATTTCGTCAATCTCGCTAATGGATTGTTGGAACCTGACTTGTGATAGCATGCCATTAATCCATTTTTGAGTACCTATTTGAGGTAATATTGGCCGTGCCATAATCATTCAACCTTATCTCATGTCCTCTATAAATTGCAGGCATGAGCCGATAGCTCAACACAACACAACACACCAACAAACATCATAAGTTCATAATTAACCTCTTTCTCCCAAGTGGTCATTTGCCAACATGAAAGCCCTCGCACTCTTCTTCGTACTTTCCCTCTATCTCCTCGCCAACCCAGCTCATTCCAGGTTCAATCCCATCCGCCTCCGCACCACCCATGAAACGGCGTCGTCCGAGACTCCGGTGATGGACATCAACGGAGACGAAGTCCGGGCCGGCGGAGATTACTACTTGGTCTCCGCCATCCGGGGAGCCGGCGGCGGAGGCCTGAGACTCGTCCGGTTGGACTCGTTTAACAAATGCGCCAGCGACGTGATCGTATCCCGGAGCGACTTCGACAACGGCGACCCCATTTCCATCACGCCGGCGGCGGACCCGGAAGCCACCGTCGTCATGCCGTCGACGTACCAGACCTTCAGATTCCACATCGCGACGAACAAACTGTGCGTGAACAACGTAAACTGGGGGATCCAGTACGACAGTGAATCTGGGCAATATTTGGTGAAAGCCGGCGAGATGGTCTCCGACAATAGCAACCAGTTCAAGATTGAGGTGGTCAACGAGAACCTTAACGCTTACAAAATCACTTATTGTCAGTTCGGCACCGAGAAATGCTTCAACGTTGGCAGATACTATGACCCGTCGTTTAGGGCTACGCGTTTGGCTCTCAGTAATACTCCCTTCGTGTTTGTGATCAAACCTAGTGGTGATATGTAATGAGCACCGGTGTTAGTTGAGGTTGTATGCATGGTACGTAGCTATGCTAAATAAGTAACGTTGCAACTTTGACAACGTTGTACGTACGTGTAAGAATAAACATGCAATAAATCCGAGCTCGTTGTGTTGTGTAATTATTAAGTATCTTTTATGATGAATTACGGGATAATAGTACTTCTCTATGCTAATACCTTCTAGGGTCCTCCGACTCCGAGTATGGTTTTGTTACATTTACTCCTAGACTTTCAAATTGTTACCATCTGTGGTCCTTCGACTTTCGAATTGTTACCATGTCGAAGTTAACCACCCATAGTCCTTCACCTATCAAATTTTATCCACAGGTGGTCCTTCCAAGAGGATCGTGGCTGGTCAAATTTTGAAAGTTAAGGACCATGGGTGGTTAACTTGGACCACGAATGGTAATAATTTGAAAGTAGAAAGACCACATGTGGTCAATTTAAAAGTTTAGAATTAAACATGGCAAAATTACTATACTTGGAGAACCCCAGATTGCATTAACTCCTCTCTCATATTTTGAAAACATTGTAAAATTGCTTCATTTGAAACTTGATCAAAAATATGTCTTTCAACATATGACATGAAACAATTATTTAACAAATCATCACTCATCCAGTTGCGTAAAGATGTCTTGACTTAATCTAGTTGTGATGATAACCTGTTGAATTTATAGTATAAGTTGATGGGCCTGTATTATACCCCGTAATAAACTTTTAATTATAACCCTATCCTCGCAACTTAATAAAATTGTAATAGTAATTTAATGAACTTACATATCCATCCTCACTACAATTGATGGTTGGACACAATATATTGGCAAATGCAAACTGCAAACTAAAAATATGCAATTTTGGATTAGCAAGGGTTGCATTCAGTGTCACACCTACAACCATATTTTGGACGGTATGCCACTTTCTTTATTTTGCTCATTGTTTTGTGGTTTTATTTATTTTTATTTGTTTTTTCACTCCATATTTATTTTCTTGGGATAGTGTGTTTATTGTTTTTTAACCTCTTGAATTAGAATCTCAGGTTGTCTTCTATTGAACTGCACTAAACTGAAGTATTGTTGTTCTTCTCTCCTTTCTGTTGCATTGTCCGGGATTATGTTGCTACAAGATGGAATAGGGCTCCTGAGTTATGTGGATCTTTCTTTTCCAAGGTAATTCTCTCTAACCACACCATTTTTTCTGCCTACTCTACTTCAGATCCTAGAATATGGTTTTATTATTCCATGTACCAGTGTAAAACAACCTTATTTTTGGAACTTTTTGGAGAAGATTGCCTCAAATTAAACCAACCTCAACAGGGACTCAGGCCCGTATTTTGGGCTGTGCAAGCTGGGCTACCGCACAGGGCCCAAATTTTAGAGGGGTCCCAAATTTTAGAAGCTCAATATTTTATTTTTACCTAGTTAGTTTAGAAATAAAAATTAAAAGTTTTTAATTAAATTTAAAAGGCTTTATAAAGAAATGGTAGGAATATGTATTTATTGTATTTTAACTTTGAGGTCTAATGTTCAAAACTTGTGCACACTATTATTATTTCATAATATGTCTATTTTTACCTGTGCGTTGCACGGAAAAGATTAAGATTATAACAACAACGAATATTATATAGTGCAATTGATGAAATGGGTTGTATCGATTATGTTTTTTTTTATGTTATCCTTGCTTGAATTCGAGCAAATAATTGCTTAATTATCCGTGCAATGTGCGTGTGATGCACGGATAATTTTTTTTATTATATATTTAGATAATAAAATTACGGTATTAATTTTATAAATTTTAATTTTGGTATGGCCTTATTTATTTATCTGATTACAGGACCACAAAAATCTAAATACCAGCCCTGCAGAGACTGCGAAACAAGAAACATGGTTTGAGAAAACAGGTTGATGATTGTGCATTATCACAGAAAGTATATTCAATGACACTAATAGAATACTCTATAATTTGTAATTTATAAAAGATAAAATAAAATTCAACTGTGATTTTATAGTTTTTAATAGTTGATAGTTGATATCTATTAGAGATGCACAATTTCAAAAATTTTTAATTTTCAGAAGTAAAGATAAAATATTAGCTATGTGAAACGTACAATCCTGTGTTTTCTCATTTATTTTAATTTTTCCTCTTTATTGTGACTAGACTAATTCCCTGACTGAGTTGTAGGCACCTCTTTTGGGTGGAATAGCTGGCCTGGAGATTTAAGGATGCTCCATTTCCAAAGCCAAGGATCGAACTTTTGACCTTTGGATAAGGATGGATGAGCTCCTTCCACTGAATCACACCCTCCAAGTTTTAATTATCTTTACTAGTATTTTCACCAGTGCGATGCACGAAATGGATTTGCTATATTTTAAGAATATTTGGATCGATATATAATAATATAAATTATAACATCAAATATTATAAAGTGCAATTGAAAAGATGGTTTGGATCAATTATATTTTGTGTTGTTATCATTGTTTGAGTTCGACTAAATAATTGTTGAATTAATAGCTAATGTCAAGATGTAAGCATAGGTGCTGAAACTTTGGAGATTTTATATACCAGTGTTTAGGATTTGTATAACTTGAGCAAATGTGCTATTTGAAAAAACAAATATATAATATCACATGTTCGAATTACACATTATTGAAAACCTCTTTGTAGACGACATTGATAGTAGTAACAGAATATTGTCCATCCTCTATATTATTATTAAAAATAAAATCCTCTTTTTTAACTTCTCGCTCAAACACTTAATAATAATAAGGTTAGTAGTAAAAAGGGAAAAATGGATGTCATTTGAGAAGCCATAAATAGGGGTTGGGGTTCAACCTTTTGGAAGAATGATAATATAAATAGATCCAAGAATATTAAATAATTGATGTTAATTAACGTAGGTGATCTACATATGACATTTATAAACTTATTTTAGAACCATATATCACAAGCTCAATGATTTATTTTTAGAATTGAATTTTTATGCATGTTCCCAATTTGTATATTACATTGGTATTCAATGGTATCCATACCTCCTCCAAGTCTTTGGTATAAGTTATTACATTGTATGTTGTTATTAGTTTGATAGATAATCACAGACTTATAAAAAGATTGCCAACATGAAGTTACTATCTTTTACTTCCAGTGAATTGAAGTAATGACTTACCAGACTACACATTTATTCTAATTTTATATTTTTGGAACTGTCAAAGTGAATATCTCTAAGTGAAACCAATATATATATACACACACACACACACACACACACACACACACAATATAATAATTATGTTTGTGAAGTGTATAATTTGAGATATTTGTTTAGCTTAATTTGTGGAGTTAATGTTATGCATTTATAAGAACCGCTCATGGTGTTCAATACAGTAACCATTGAACAGTTCATGGTGTTCAATAATATTAATAATATATTCATGAAAATGTTGAGACAAACCATTGGATATTTGTATTGTTTAAGTCGTCCAGATGAGAAATGTTAGACCTATTTTTATCAACTAAGTTTATAAATTTCAATTGTATAAATTGTATAAATCGAAATCAAGCAAGGATAACATTAGAAAAGATAATCTACCCAACTCATTTCATCAATTGCACAATATAATATTAGTTGTTATAATTTATATAATTGTATATCGATCCAAATATTCTTAAAATATTATAACAAATCCATTTGTGCAACGCACGGGTGAAAATACTAGTTAGATAAAAAGGACATCTAAAAATAGAAGTAAAGTAGTTGCATGAAATCCATACTTATCTGCTAAATCTAATAAAATAAATAGTAAAGCCCGCGAAGAAATAGACATGAAATGATAAAAAAAATTAGAACAAGCCTGCAAAGGAATGGACATGAAATGATAAATGCCGCACAATAAAACATCAAACAAACTGGACCCACCTAAATAGTTTGATTATGAGTTAATACCTCCAATGGTCCTCTGAGTATTAGCCATATACCAGTTGTGGTCATCCAACTTATAAACGATCACGAGACGTCATCTATCTTTTAAAAAATAACTATCCGTAGTAAATTTGGTGTTAAATGGGCGTTAAATGTCAGGGTAATGCTGTGTTTTCACTTATATATATTAGCATTCTTCTTCAGGTTGCAGCTTTATTGCTTCTATCACAAGAAGAAGAACGACAGCCTTTTATGAAGGTTTAAGCACGACATACCATTAGGCATTACCAAACAAAGACTTCAAACTGACCCACAACCAGAAGTTCAGTAGATGAGAATAGATGTTCCAATTAAAATGCACTACACTTATTAGCTGAATCTTACCTGAATTCTGAAGCCAACAACATAGGGTTTGCAAGGTTGGTACAAATCTATATATATTGTCTTTCTGCGTACCTCATATACCTATTGTGAGTTTTCACTGATGGCCTTTTGTATGCGGAGATAAGTGGCTCTATTCATGTCGAATGCTCCTATGAAGCTTGAATTCCGCTTTTAGTTATCCCATTTTCTCTACCTTTCTCTAGGATGAAAATCGAGAATGCAACCCTGAGAGAGAGCTTGAAAAGCATGGAGCATATATCTAACATCTTCAATCCGAAGGCAAAATAACTCTCAATGCATAAGGTACAAAAAACTTTGCCCGAAAATGTTGGGCGAAAATAACTGAGCTTTTATACGCATTCATTGACATAGATATAAGTAGCCTTACCCTAAGTAAAAGAAAGGGAAAAAGGAGACTAGTCAAGTCTAACTACTACATTAATCAATATAAACTCTAAAGATTGAACATGACTTTGATAGCATTGCCACCACGAGCACTGGTTTCAAATGCCTCTTCAACCTCCTTCTGTGTGAACCCAAACCTGTGTGTGATCAGTGGCTTCACATCAATCTTCCCACTCCTCAAAAACTCTATGCACTGTGGCCATGTATTCTTGTACCTGAATATCCCCACTATATCCACCTCCCTACACAACAACACAACCATCATCTTTAACAAATTAAAACACAATAAAAATATCTGGAGATTCTACTAATAATACAATTATAAAGTCAGATAATTAATTAAAAAATTAAAAAATTACCTTGCTGCTGCAGGAGTGAGGGGGACTGTCATTTCACAATGGCCCATGCCGACAAGGCAAACCTTGCCACCGGA